GACTTAGAGACTGATTTTTTTGTTTGTTTGTTTGTTTGTTTGTTTTCTTTTTTACAATACTGCAATAGGTCTTATCAGTTTCATTAAATCGTGTAATGTTTAGTGATATATAAAGTGCTCTGATTTATGACAGCACTATTTATTCACTTCTTTCTCTATGGAACTTGCATCGGTCACTAGATGAGCTTCATTGTACTTCATTTTATGTTGGTGCAATGCCAAATGCTATGATTAAATTGTGAGATTTTTAAAAAATATTTCCTTCCCATGTTTATTTTTGTGTTATCAATATCTTCAAAAATGCATGAAAAACAAATTCAAAGCATATAACCTTACTACTGTATTTGTGTGCATTTACCCTGAAGAATAATATTTGCTTAAAGCTAAGCTTTTCTTGAAGACAGTCTCTTCAATTACACAATGAGAAAGCTCATGCTGAGTCACTTGGGGCAACATTTTAGGCAAATTATGTGTCTCTGCATAAATTTCCTGTTTCTCTGTCTCCCAACCATCAGAACTGTATTTCCTGTCAGGATGTGTTATCTTTCCCTTTCTATTTTAGCTATCAATGTCCTCAAAATTCATGAAAAACAAATACTTTGCACAGAGCAAATAACCTTACTTCTTTATTTATATGCATTTACCCTGAAGAACAATATTTGCTTAAAGCTAAAATTTCCTTGAAGACAGTCTCTTCAAGGGAACAATGAGAAAGTTCATGCTGGGTCACTTGGGACAACATTTTAGGCAAATTATGTGACTCTGTATAAATGTCAAGTTTCTCTGTTTCCCAACCATCAGGAATGTATTTCTTGTCAGGATATGGTATCTTTCCCACTGTATTTTAGTTAAGCTGTTATTTTCCTCATTTTTGACCCCTTCTGCTACTGTTACACGTTACTGTTCTATGATGTACAAGCTATGTGTAAGATGCTGTCCCAGTTTGCTAACTCTAAAATTCCTGAAACAATGTTTACCCCACTGCCAGTTCTAAGTAAAAAAAGAGCTATTCATGTTTTCAGATTGCACCCAGGTCTGGCATAAAAAGAAACACTGTTACAACTGATTCGTAATATTTGCATTTAGGATAAATTTGTTTAGTGTGCCTACGCTGTAAACTTGTTCAAAGCCTGTTTCATCATCTGATTAATTCCTTCCTCCTGCACCAGATGATTTTATCTTTGCAATACAAGAGAGCTGTTATGTATAGATGTTGGGGGGGAATGTGGAAGTGCATAAATTATTTACCCAGAATCAGCCTTATGTGGAAATGTATAAATGATTTACCCGGGAGCAGCCTTACAATTTATGAACTGTGATGGACAATGTTTTTCAAATCATTTTTTGGAAACGCTAGCATAGATCACGCTCTAAATTTAAGCAATGGTGAAATAAGCATATTTTCCAAATGGATGGTTGAAAAAAGTAAACAATTTGGCAGAGCTTCATTTATTACATTTTCTTGAAACTTTGCAAAAGTTACAGCAGCTGCTGCTCCAGCTTCTGTAAATCAATAAGTGTACAACTTTACTGTTGCACACTTTTTTGTTGTCACTAATTGTAAATAGTCTGTCTATTGCTCAGACCTGCACATGTTGTGCAGTTTTTAGTGAATCATCTCAGTTGCACATTCCTCTGGAGTGGAGATTTTTTTTACATAGCTACACAGTCTTTATGTTGAAATGTTTTCCTTTGCTGTACATTATTTTAGTTTCTGTCCTTTTGTAAGTCCATTTGCTGTTAGTGCCTGTCATTTAGCTGTTGTTGCACAGAAATGTTCCCATTATGGGACAATATAGGATATCTCTATGCTATTCCATTCTAATCTATTCTGTTCTACATACTCCTGTTTCTGTTTTTGTTTTTGCATTTTCTCAACACTTGAATGTTTCAGATAATCCAACAAATATTATTAGGCAAAGATTGTCTGAGTTGCCTACCTTTTCACGTGAGAATTTAACTTATTGCAGAGGGAAAAAGCAGTCCAACTCAAGCTGGCCCTGTGTGAAAAAGCAATCCACATCATTCATTAACTGAAGTACATTACATTTTGGATGGCTAATTTTAATTACACATGCAACACCAAAGCTTTTAAACACAAAATAAATTAAATAGAACATGTCTGACATCATGAAATAGGCTAAAAAATGTGCATAGAAATTTTTACAAAGTCATTTCTAAAGCTTTGATACTCTAGAAGACTACAGTGAGTCATTATTCACAAATAGAGAGAACATGAAACAGTGGTGAACCTTCACAGGAATGATTGGTCAAGTAGTCCCATCAAGAGCACATTGACGACCAACATTCAAATAAGTTGCTGGTAAAATTATGCTTCATTTTTTTCTTCTTTGTTGATTTGCATCATGAATGTACGACTTGTTGTTGAATTCTGTTCTCTACCAGAAAATCCTGGACAGAGATTGTCTGGACATTAGCTTGCTGCCTTAATGTCAAAGTGAATTTGACATATATAGCAGGAGAAAGATCTGAAGCACAGATTAATCTTTTTAAAAGCTTTTATGGCAGCGATGGCCTTTATTTGCAGCTTTCAGACAGAAAATGGGCAGAGAGAGAAGAGGAGAAGACATGCAGCAAAAGTTCTAAGGTTGACAATCAAACCCAGGATGGCTCCATTGAAGACTAATTGCCTCCATATGTGACGCACCTGCTCTAGCTCTTTACCATGCACCATGAGCAAGTTCAATTGTGAATGACTCCTTCCCCTCCAAAAAAATAAAAACACAGGTGAGGAGTGGTCTNTTTTTTTGGTTTTTTTTTTTTTTTGGGACCCCCGGAAAACAAAAAAATATAAGTTTCCCCCAATCCTTTTTTTTTTTTTTTTTTTTTTTTTTTTTTTTTAAATCCCATCTTAGTCCCATTTATACATAATGTAAACTCCTGATCTATATTTTCTGAAAGAAAACTGAAAGTAAATTGCTTTAAAAAAAAAAAAATGTGTCATATAATTATTTGTTTTTATTTTCTGTTGAGATGAGGACATTATGATGCCTAGACTTTTAGTCTGCTACTGTTTTTTTTGTTTTGTTTTGTTTTGTTTTGTTTTGTTTTTACTCAGCAGGGACACAGTCATTCCTGTTTACCATCCACAGGTACTTCCATGAACAATGAACTTGGTTGCAAACTGGAGTTTCACTTAACCAAGAGGTGACTTAAGATTCAGATCAGTTTCAGGAAGTCAGACAGTACACTGTGGATTTACTTTCCTGTTTGATAAGCAACTGATTCAATCAGAAAAGGAAACTTCTCAATGCTTTGAATGTTTTGAACATGACAAAAACAAATTAAACATTAATCTTCTGACAAGTAGAACATTTCCTGCTTCGCATTAGTAAGCTGGTGTTTTTGTGGGGAGGAGAAGGCGGAGGCAGAAGGGATTAACATCATAGCGGTTGTCATATTTTCTGGAAACATCTACATAACAACATTCTAAAACTCAGGACTATAAAATGTACATAAACATTTTAAAATATCAATATTTTTGGAAACCAAAAAATATAATTACCATAACTTATTTGAAATCTTTTTCAACATACAATGCTAGAAAAGTTAATCAGTTTTCTTGGTCTCAAACCAGCTCTTCCATTCAGTCAAAAGAAGTGTTGCTTTTTTGTAGAATTTTTTTTTTTTTTTTACATCTGCTTAGTTTTAATTTTGGAATCAAAAGGTTAATAAAGTTGTGGTTTAGTACACACCTTATACAACCAGTTTATGAAAGTTTTTCATGCTTTCATAAACTAGTAGATAAAAGACTGAAGAAATAAGACTTGTTTCCAAGCTGTATTCCACTGCAAGCAACATGATTTGGATCAAATATTTATTAGTTCCTGAACGCTGACTTAGTAAACAAGTTCTAAAAATGAAGTACTTTGCACTATATTTCTCTGTTTCACCATGTGTGTTTGTCTCAGTGGCCAAACATTAATCTAAACAGTGAGAGACATGAAGCAAAAAGAAACATTGGAAGACTTCTTGTCCAAAAACAAATCACATTTAATGACAGTACCTGTTAAGCTATCTAGCTTAGACTTGTAGTTTGGGAGACAAACTACAAGTATGTGTAATAAAGAACTTAAAGGTTTAAGTTGAAATTAAATTTTTATCACTTTTTTAAGAGCATCAACAGAAGGCTGGAAGCGCCAGTGCCCCTCAGTATCCTTAATTTGGATCTTGTTATTTTATTGTAAGAAAAAGCAGCTAAAACAAGTTGCAAGTTGCTTGCTATATCTTAAGTGTTCTTAATGCAAGTTTCATTGTTCAGTAGAGTATGCCCCAAGTGTTTTTTTTTTTTTTTTTCTTACTTATGACTTTCAGTGTGCATTGTTTTGGAGACTACCTGCAAGAAATAAATAGTATTTAACAGAGCAGAATTTGCTTTTTAGAGTGTTTATTATATTATTATTACATTATTACAAAAAATGAAGTCCAAATCTCTGTCATTTCACCTTAACATACCTCCAAGAATAGCACATTTATTTCAGATTAGGTTTGAGTAAAATCTCTTTAAACCTACAATGTTATTGTCATCTGTTTTAGCTTTTATGTTGTGAGAGTCTTTCATTAAATCGCAATTAATTATTATTTCAATTTAAGAAATGAGACAGAGGAGCATGGAATGTGGTACTTGTTTGTTTTTTTTTTTAAACACATAATTTCAGATAATTTATAGTTTATGGCAATGAGTTTCACAGATGAATATTTGGCAGAATGCCAGTAACCAGTTCTCTTCCTACTTGGCTGATGAACATCAGGAAGTATGTTCATCAGCCAGGTTCCCAGCTCTCAGACCCATGTTGACATTCATTTTCTCATTCAGTCCAAGCTAAATTTAACCTCAGAAAGAATTTCGTATGTAAGACAAACATTTTGGGATGTTTGATGGGGCTTAATAGCGGCGCACACAATACACCACTGTCAATACAATTATGAGTCATTTTAGGCTGGTATGTTTGTCTCAATAATTTGAGTTTTTTACTCACCAAAGGCTTTCTTGGGCTCCACAAGGCGAAGAGTGAAAGGGAGGTCTCTTGGTTGCTCCTTTAGCATCTTGGCGACCTCATAGTGTCGACATCCTACGATGCTCTGGTCATTAATGGCTTCAATGTGGTCACCGACACAAACAGCCTTCAGTCGGTCAATGGTGCTGCCTTCTTTTATTCTCTAGAGAAAAAAAGAAATGGTTACACTCGTAGGTCCAAGTGAAAGCTTTCGTATGCATGATCCAGAAAATGGGAACAAAATAAGTTTCTTTGTTTGTAATTACTTTAACTATACTAAAAGATTGGACTTTTAGTACAGTGTGTTTCCTAATGACTCTAGCAAACAGCCATTAGGAAACGCAGGTTTTTTATTTATTTTTCCTCTCATTCACCTTGATAAAAGCATATCCAGCTCCATTGTCTGTTATAGTGAGACCTAAAGCATCCTCGGTCTTTGTCACCTCCACTTCTTTTGTCTCCCCTCTGACATGAGCAAAGATGAAGTCCTCCAGTCCAATTTGTCCTCCCAGAAGTTTCTGCATGTCCACTTTATGAGAGTTTAAGGTACAGAAAAGGATCTGAGGGCAGGATATGAAGAAAACAAATGCTTTTGGAGGTTCCCTGAATTCAGCATAAACTTTCATAAAACTGTATTTTCTTACATATTCCACATCACTGCATACGGCACTTGCATTACCAAGCATGTTTATTTTCATATTGTAAAATACAAAATACCTTGATCGACACAGATGGGCTCATCTCTGACGGCATCTACTTTGCATGAGACTGGAAAGTGTTCCAATTTTACCACCAAAGCAGATGCAGCTCTTTGGATTTTTTTGAAGTGCAGTATAGATATTAAACAGTAGAGAGCAGCAGTGAGACGTGATTTGAACTAAAAGGATTTTTGGTAACACTTTATTTGAAGGGGGTTGAATAAGACTGACATAACACTGTCATAAACACCAAGAAATCATTACTGATATAAATTTGTTATAAAAGTATTACTGATTGCACTTTTAAAATTAGGTAACTTTATGTTATTAAAGGTAAAGTTTAAACAGTAATTATTTCCTGGTTAATGTCAAGTTGTCATAACAAAGACATTTTGAATAATGTCAACTTTGTATTAAAAGTGTCATAATTTACCGAATGACGCTTTATGACAACAGTCATAAATATTCATCAAGACTTATTCATGTTTATGACAGTGTCATGTCAGTCTTATTCAATCCCCTTCAAATAAAGTGTTACCGGATTTTTACTATCACAACGTTAGTACAATAAATAAAACATGTCTCCGTCATTAATTAAAAATAAATAAATGAAAACGCAGCTTAATTACACCTAATTCTAATCAAGGCATAATCACACTAGCTATCGCTGTGTATGTATATTTAATAAAATAGAATATTATTCTATTAATTTATTTCAAGTATTAATCTGATGAAAACCCAAAATTTGTTTATGCAGAAAGAAACGGATTTTTAGGCCATTCAAATACAATGGTAGTTCAGAAATAGTATACTTTTGCCGCCATGTCATGGTTTTAAACAGTCATGTGGCAGATTGCAGCATGATTGACCAGCAGACACTGAAATCTTCGGGGCCTGTCTTATTTGCTCATTATTTAATATGTTGGCCGCTTAGAGAGTGTTGAATTTGAATTCACGAAGAATTAAAAGGAAGGGGAAAAAAATGAACAATTCATGCAAAAGGAGCCTCAAATCAAGTATTATTTGCAAATTTCTGACTTAAAAATCATTTTATTGCTAATGTCAGTTTCTTTAGTAACATATTAAAAAGATCACAGTTCATAACAGTGCTTCATAATATTAAACAGGAATGAAGTGAAGACTAAACCTAGATAAGATACGCATATTAAAATTAAAAATATTAACATTTTATCTTATTTTACATTCTATTTTAAATAAATCACAATGTCATTCCCAAAATATGTAAGTTTTAGATTTTTTTAAGCAAATTACCTAAATAAACTTTTGATTATATTGTAATTTATTGTTCAGTTATGTGTAAATCTGGCAATGTTGTGAATAGAATCTGAATCAGTAAACTTTGCACAGTTGATCTCATAACTTGTTGTATTTTCATACCAGGATTTAAGTCTTTTCGCTAATATGAGTAAGTGTCTCCTTACTCATATTTTCATGTTTTACAACAAACAAGAATTATATCAGATTTCAACTTCAAGGTCAAAGTTTTGTTCGAAAGTCCATGAAAAAAATTCGAGATAATTGAACAAAGTGTTATCTTGCAGTTGCTGATCAAAAGATTTGACTCTGCGTGTAAGACTGTGGGGTTGGAGTTCAAGGTTGTCAGTCCAATCAAGCTCTACAGTAACTGATGTTGCTCTTATGTCCATTGGGGGCGGTCAAGGAAATGGATGCATTTTATAGAGTCAAATGCACATTGCCATAAATCTACAGTGGAGTCTTGAATCTAGAAGTCAGCATGTGGTTCTATAGGTCCTGCAGAAATGTTGTTCATTACCGTCCCTATTACAACAACGAGTTGCTATAAGCACAAAATTAAGTTAATATACATGTTTCAAAAATTAATTAAGCAAAATGATAACAACTGTGGGTTATTATTGGCTGATACATAATGTCAAATTATTAGGTTTAAAAGTTTACTCAAATTTGTCTCATATAACAACACGGTTTCTAGGTTTGACATTTTTATTTTAGTTTCATTTCCATTTTGCTCTGTATTGGTTGCACTTTCCACAGAAAAGCAAAGTAAACATCACCAATATAAAAGCAGGGACTGTTGTTGACTGTCTCACAAAAAGAACTGTTATCTTTTATACCCATTACAATATAAGATAGCAGAGCCTTCATGATGGCCTTCAAATCTGATAAGTATTCAATATAAGGACAGTCTTGCTCAGAAAGAATTTTATTATTGACTGTGTGAATGTGACTTATGCAGGAATTCAGAAACAATGCTAACTATTGGTTTTATGTAGAGTCAATGTTGCCTTACATTGCTGGTCATGTTTATTTTATTTTTTAGCAAAGTATTTTCAGCGGCCAAAGTATTACTTAGAACATTGCTAATTAAATTGTCTCAGACTGATTCTTTGGTGCTCCTGCTGCTGCTGTATCACTACTACTTTATTGCAGTATATAAAAAGCTATTATATTAATGCAGATGTTTTTAATTTTGAACCAGGCTGACCTTAATATTGAAGGTAAAGAGCAATCCTGTCTCAAGGACCCTCGTCACCCGACACCACACGTGCAGTGGCTTGCAAATACATCTGTTGCTATAAACTTTTTCACATGTTGTCATGCTATAACAACACAATTAAATGAAAAGCATTGGGATACATAACATAACATAATGTTACATGACTTTTTGATTGTCTTTGACTGCATTTGACCAGCTTTGGACATGTACCTTTTTTTTTATATATATATATATATATATTTTTATTCAAAAAAAGTACAAAGTAAGGTACCTTTGATCTTTCATTGTCTTTGTAAAATGGGTAAAGCTAGTCAGATCGTATGGAACAAGAACATTAATTCAAGCCTTGCTACAAATGATCAGTTCTATTTAACTGTGAAGTTTTACTGGGCAATTCCCAACCCATGATTTATCTAAACTATTAAAATGTATCTCTGATTGTATCTTTAGGGTTGTTTTCTTGCTGAAAGCTGAACCTCTGGCCCAGTCTTAAGTGTGTTTGCATTATCTACCAGGTTTTCTTTCAGAAATTCAATGTGCTTAGGTCAATGTTTAGGACATCTTCCACAGCTAAGAGAGAGTGTTCAAGATGTTGTGCAGTGTTGATTTTGTGCCACACATAGACCAGTATTTTCTTACATGTCCGCTTACAACTGTCCCATAAAGGTTAGGGTTTTGGAGTGGACAGTGCCTGAAATAGACAGTGCCTGTAGTTCTTTTAGAGTCACCACAGGCCTTTTATTGAATAAACAGCCTCTGAGGCCACCACAGAAAAGTTTTATTTATGCATTCATTTCATTTCATTTCATGCTAAGGTTAAATTGCAAATAGTGAAAAAGTTTAAGGAATGAAGGCATTTTGTGCAGATTCAGAGATGTGTTTGGGCTCCTGCTGAAGGCCATAAGCTAAATCATGTTGGTCTGGAAAAAAAGTTGTTTCTTACTAAACATCTTGCTAGAGTCTTCACCTCACCTATTTTTAATCAGTTAACATCAGTTTCCATGATATAATTCATATGAATCATAATCTGGTTATGTTTTAGTTTGAGGTCCGACATGTATATTCCTGACATACATAAATGTATGAGTGTTCACTGATTAAATACACTTTATCTAGTTTGTTTGAACCTTGGCAGCTCATATTAGTACAAAGTCTGGTACTGGAGAGTGGAAATGATCAATAAAACTTGATCATGGGGAAAAAAAGCCCTAGCATGGAAACTTAACACCGTTTTATAACTAGCCAGACAGAGCAGAAATGCAAGACAGCAATCAGATAACTGTATGAAATTTCTTCCAGTTTAATCATTTTACCTCTGACGGAGAGATGTTGAATACCTCTGCTATCTTGGCATACAGTTCCTTGACATTGGTGAATCCATGAATGCGTCCTGTTGGGCTCCCATGAGCCAGCTGGGTGTGGAAGATGAGCCTGGGTCTCGGGTACTCTGGTGGCCCTGCTGATGGCGGTGATGGGGGAGGAAGCGGAGGAGCTGTGGGCTCAGTGCATCCCTGATTCTGGCAAGGGGCCTTGTGGTCCTTCATTGCCTCATCCCCCAATGCCTTGGAGTCCTGCGGGCTCATAACCTCCCCGTTCTGCATCGGTCCCAGCTTGGGTTTGATCCACCCTGCTGGTTAGCAGCTATGATAAAAAAGAAAAACTGTGCTTACCTACTCTTAGTTGCCCAAACACCACAATCAACCAACCACCCAAGGCAATGGTGGTGAGGAAAGCAGATAAATAAGTGATGAGAGTAACCTGGTAACATTATATGAAAGAGGACAGCCAGACCCTGCCTGGGAGAAACCCAACACCCTCTGAATTTAGGATTGTCTTGTACACTTGAGCCCATTTGAGCTCACACACAGAAAACAAAAATAAAAGACACCAAGTAAAATATTCTTCAAGGAATAACCTTTGACCTTCCATATATTAAAAGCTGCATAACATGCCACAGACATGACCCTTCACATATGATCTGAAGTATGAAAATGTCTAGGTATGAGTAAAATGACTCCCACACAGGCCAGCAAAGACAATGCCCCAGTGTTCCTGGTAAGATGATATCTGGGTAGGCAGTGAGGTGTTCCTGCCCACTGGCCTGACTGAATGAAAGAGGTTGTTGCCAGGGCGAATTCTTGGTGATGTGCTGACCTTTATGACCCGGCCCACAGAAACAAAAAAAGTGAGCAAGACAAATGTTTCTCATCTATTACCATTTTAAGCCACCTGGGTTTGATAGTTTACAATTCCCTCGTCAAGGGAATTTCCACTTTCAGTGGGAAAACAACTGATCCTAGTTTTCTATCTAAAGTTGTCATGAAAAGTCACAACAGTCATGTTTTGCTTCTTGTTTCACTCTTTCATGGTGATCTTCTGCCCTTAATGTCATATTTTACCCTCTCATATGATGCAGAACCACTTTGAATTGGGAGATTTCCCTGTGAGGACAACAATTTTCCTGCCTCTCGAATCTGGAAATTCCACAAAAATTCCAGATTTCCTTGTCAGCTGACAATGTGTCATTTGCATTATTTCAAACTCAGATCCCCTCGTGTACACACACAGCAAAATGACACATTTTCTGTTTGAAAAGTGTATTTACTAAGTTATAATACCTTGTGTACATTGTTGTTTAGTAGTTTTTTTGTTAAATGATTTCATTTCATTCATTATAAATTAGTGAGTAAAGTGCAATATCATGAAATGAGTCTGTGTACTGAACTGAAACAACAGTGATATTGTAGAAACATCACATCCACCAAGGCCCTACAACTATTACAAAGGTCATCAAAGGATGTTTGTTTGTAAGATGTGAAGCTGGTAGCAAAGCAGCCTTTATTTTATTTGCTTAGAGTTGTAATCAGAAGGGACATCAGACTAAAACCAGCTGCTGTCTGCCCAATGTTTATGTCTGACCATTAATGGAACATGCAAAAACAGATGATTAGTTTGAATGTCACTAAAGACATCCAGGACTGGTATTAGGTTCCAAAGGTCTGATAATATTCAGAAAAAAAAAATTTTGTATAGTATTAACACACATTTTAAGAATAATATTTTTCAAAATAGAGAATCGTCATCAACAAGATACCAGTGGAAACATAAAAAAGCTGTTCATGAAAGTATGGATCTCATACTTTCATGATCTCCCTAATGCCTATGGAGATTAGTTTTATTATTACAAAGCATACACATAATTAGTGGATTTTTCTAACACCTTTAAAGTTAAATTTTTTTGGAGTTCCAGAGACACTGGTAGTATAAGAAGCTGGTATTTGCTGGTCAGTAGGTAAGGTTATCTGATCTGGTATAGGCTGTAGTCAGCTGCTTAACAGACTTGCCTCTTGCAGTTTGTAAACTTAGAAAACACATTGCCTTAATAAAAGTGGTGGGCGGAGCTTCTTAAGTTTCCACACCAT